TTTTATTTGTACTTGGTTAGTAACTATTGTGAGGAAATGTGGAAAATTCAGGTGGACTAAATCCCGTTACCTCTTATTCCTTAAACTTAAATGTTATCTTAACAGTCCCTCAATTTTAGCTAAATTTCAAATTCTCCTCAGATCTAAAAACCGCATTGTACCATTAATATCTAATAAAAATCAATCCATTTTCCAATATAGTTATATATATATAAACAAAGTATATTTTTAAGTTTTAAAAATATTACTGTGCTTTATACACAATGCAAAATGGTCATAGTGAAAGTAATTTTCTCTGTGTTAAATACAAGCCACCTAGCTTCCTATCTAGGGGCAGCCATTGCTGATTCCTTGTGTATAAGTCCAGAAGTTCCTGGGCGTCTATGTAGTTGTATATATTTTTAGTGTATACATATGCTAGCATATTATACCTACTTTTCCTGTTTGCTTATTTCCCCACAACAGCTTTGGACATTATTCAAATACACACGAGAAATACCTATTGATAGGCTATTGTTCTATATGTACCAGATTTTTTTGGCCTATGTTCCTCCCCCTGCCTTCCTGTTACATGCTTTATAATATGTCTTTGAACATGTTATAGGCCACATGTATGAATAGTTTATAGGATAAAACTAGTGGAATTGCTTTGTCATTTGTGTCTGTCTGTCTGTGTTTAGTTCTTTAGATCTCACCTATCCTGTGGATGCTAAGAATTTCACTTTATTCTCTGAAGTCACAACCAATGCATAATAATCAGTAAGATTAAATATTGATGAAATTGTTAGAGATAAAAGTTTAGGAACAAATTATATGATTGCTTTACAAATAAAAATGATTGAACTTCAGGAAAAAAAAATGATTGGACTTCGGGAAGCTTTGAAGAAATCTGACATTGGCTGTTGAGAATTCTAGAAATCAGAGTGCTAAAGTCTTAATATTTGAGTACTGGGGAGTTGCTCAGTTGTGAAGTGCTTGCCTAAGGAATGTTTGAGTTGTAGGCTCAATTCTCAGAACCAGAAAAGAGAAACAAATTGGATCTGTACTTCTAACAAAAAGTAAGATTTTTGCCCTGTCCCTTCCCAGTCAATTCCTGCTTTGTGGGTCCAGGGGTTGTGATGCTGACCGTGCAAGGTTTAGAATAAGGCCATGGCAAATAGTTTAGATTACTGTCCCTGAATGAAATGGGGGATCATTAGAGAGGCGTGGGCTAGGTAGCAATGCGACCTTATGTTTTAGAAAAGAATTATTTCAGCTGCTTATCTAGAATCGACTGGAGTAGAGCCAGAATGAAATGAGAGCAAGTAGACCATTCAGACCAAAAAGGGAAAGTGACAGGTGTTTGTGGCTTGCCTGTAAAAGTCCCCAGGATCAAAAGGAAAGTGACTTCTCCCTCCCTCCACCTTTATCCTTCACAGTCTCTTCTTGATTTTGTTTTAGTATTAAGGCATTGAGCCCAGGGTCTTCGCTCTCTGCTACATCCTCATCCCTTTCTTCTTTTTTTCTTTTGAAGCAGGGTCTAAGTTGCCCAGACTGGGCTCAACCTTGCCATCCTCCTGCGTCAGCCTCCCAGACTTCTGGTATTACAGGCATGCACCACCATTCCTGGCTCATAGTCCCCTTTTACAAGATGTGTCAGCATTCTGTGTTAAATCATGAAAACATCTTAATATATCTTTACATAAATACAGCTGTTGCGATGTACTTGTGATTCAGAAGTCATAAACTTCAGTGAAGATGGGCTGGATATGCACCAGCTGAGAGTACCCTAACTGACAGGGATCATCCTGCCTCAGTACTAATTTTGCTCAACACCTGTTTTACCCTACATTTCAGTAATCATATAACTGGAGATTATAGTTGATATTTATGTAACTTCCCCAAATACAACTTTGTGATAGATATTATTTACTGCAAATAGATAATGAATCCTATATTTTTCTTTTTTGAAACTGGGTCTCACTATGTAGTCCAGGCTGGCCTGGAATTCGGGATCCTCCTGCCTCAGTCTACTGAGTGCTGGGCCACAGGGATGTACTACCATGCCCCACTCACTCTACAATGAATCCTTAACAAAATTTTTTTCCTAATTTAATTTACATGTTACCTAGAAAGTAATAGTAACATGCTATTTTAATTGGTTTTAAATATATGGTAAAGAAAACTTTTTAAGTTGATAATTTGTTTCTCATTTCTTTTAATGATGTATGAACATGATTATTGTATTAAATAACCCAGATTCTTTTTTTTTCCTTAAATTCTTTTACTGGTACATTTTAGGTATAGAATACATTTACATTGATCATTGGGTGCTTGTACCTGTACGTGATGTATCTTGGTTCTTACTTTTTCCCCATTACCTGTGCGCCCTTCACCCCTCCACCCTTCCCTATTTATATAGACTTCGTTTCCATTCTTTTTCTTTTCTCATAATTTTTCCTTTCCCTTCTTTCCTTTCCCCTTCCCCTCCCACCACCTCTACCCCTTTGGACCTTTTCTTCCTATTTCAAATTATCAATTATTCATTTTAATCATTTTAACCCTTACTCACATTTTCAGTTTCTCACACTAGAGAAACCATTCGGTATTTACACATGTGTGTCCCATTGATTTCACTTCAGAGTATCGCCTCAATATGCATCCATTTAGCTATAAGTGACTCTAGTTTCTCATTCTTTGTGGCTGAGTAGTACTCCATTTTATAAAAGAAAGCACATCTTCTTTATCCAGTTTCCAGTTGATGGGCACTTGGGCTGTTTCCAAGCTTTCGCTATTATAAACTGTGCTGCTATAAACATGGGTGTGCATATATCACTGTGGTGTGAGTCTTTTAATTCTTTGGGGAAGATACTCAGCAGGGGAATAGCTGGGTCAAATAGGACCCTAGTTTTTTGATGTGTCTCCATACTGATTGTGGCAGCCTGCACTCCCACTTAAAAGTGGTATTCAAAAGTTACTGATGAAAGTATGCATGTGCAAGGAAGCAAACCCAGATGTTGCAATGGTGGTTTGTCTTTGTGATTTTGAATGGTTTTTCATTTTCTTGCACATACTGGTTTACCTGTTTGAAATTTTCTGATTAATACCAAAACAAATCTTAATTGGAACCAAAAGCATGCAATGTGAAACTTTTACTACATGTCCAGAAGTATTCTTTTTTTTTTTGGTACCGGTGATCAAACTTGGGTCCTTGCACTTGTGCAGCAGGTGGCGAAACCACTGAGCTAAATCCCCGGCCCCAGAAGTTTTCTTCTAAATAAAATATATACTCTTTTTTTTTTGTACTGCAGATTGAACTCAGGACCTTATGCTTGTGAGGCAGGTGCAGTGCCACTGAACTAAATCCCTGGCCCTAGAATATAACTCTTAACAAAACGAATGGGCCGGGGATTTAGCTCAGTGGCACTGCACCTGCCTCACAAGCATAAGGTCCTCCCGAGCGCAAGGTCCCGAGTACAATCCCTGGTACCAAAAAAAAAAAAATCATTCAACTGTTAACAAAACAAAAAATCAGTATGTAAGCTGCATGACTTCTTTTACACTGAGGCAACCATTTTCAATTTTCATCTAGGCCAGTTTTTTTTTTTTTGAGTTCTGAGACAGGGTGTCACTATTAGTTCAGGCTGGCCTCAAATTCACAGCAATCCTCCTGCTTCAGCCTCCCAAGTGCTGAAATTACAGGCGTCCACCACCATACCTGGCTTATCTAGGCCAAATCTCAACAAGAAACTTTGTAAGGGACTTCACAGAAACTCCTGTTCTAGTCCCAGGAAAAACACATTAGCTCTTCACCTCCTCTGAAACTACTGGCAGTGGGAGACTTTGTTCTCTAGCACCACAAAGCCACTGTCTGAGTCTTGTCTCTTCTCAGCTCCACTGTGAAAAGGGAGATTCTGAGAGAGTTGGGGGCTCCAGGGCCCAGACATTGTTGCTGTGGGGCAGTGAGGCAGACAGCCCCACGGCACCCGTGACCCACAGGGAAACTGAGGAAAGCCTCTCATTAGGGCCAGAGTGAGTTCCGCCTTAGGGGTAGGTTGGGTAGTGGTTTCTGTCCTGACACGTACTTGAATTTGACAGTACACTGATTAGGGGGGTTTCCTGTTTCATTGTGCCTAACGGTTGTTTCAGTATACAGCCCCCCGCCAAATTACACATTGATAAATATGACTATAGTTCTTAAAGGAGTCAAAAGCTCCTCAAGAAGCCAGAGGAGGTGCATCTAAAACTTAAATGTGTTTGTAAGCCACAATCTTTTGATGTTCCCCAGAGCTGGGCTCACAAGGAGCTTGTGGCTGGGGCTACCTAGGAGACAGGCTCAAGGAACTGGGGTTGTAAGATGACAAAGCATCTTGACAGAGTAAGATTTCACATAAATAGCAAAAATTTCTGGTAGATGCAGACATGTACATGTGTAGAAATAACCAATCATACCAAATCAAAGCAAGTTCATCAAATTGCCACATATGCGTATAGTTAAGGTGAGTAGTCAGCACTAAAATTATGATTCTTCAATATCATGTTCAGTAAACAATAAATTTTTCACTAATAAATGAAATATATATTTTCAAAGGGGAGTATGGAGATTTCTAACAAAATGGCTAGAGCCCAGCTTCTACTTGAGGAAGAAATGGCACTGCACACTGCATCTGGAGCCTCTAACGGGAGCTGTTCAGCAGAGGTCAGGACCAAGGAGGGGAGTTTTTCATGTCTTTACTATAAACTATTATGGGCATATTTTTTGTTTCTTTTTCAGCTAAAAGGGAAAAGACTATTAGTAATAGGCAGTGGCTTTGGAATACTCAATAACAAACTAGGAAGACCCAGCTCCATATATTTTAAATAGGACTCTGCAGACCCCTCAGTGTGGCTTAGGGTGGTAGGTATTGGTAAGGGTTCTCTTCTGCCACAGCAGCTCTGTTTTTAACTATTTCACATAATTATTACACACAGTATAAGGTTTCATTTAAGTAAAGGGTTCTACCCTAAGAATCAGTTAATATTTACAGTGTATCCTTCAAACTGAGCAGCTTCAGGGTAAAAACAGGCTTACCTTCTGGCATGTTCTGTGGAAGTTTGTAACTGAAATCTGTTGAGAAATCTGGCCCCTCACAGAGTCGATGACATGCTATTGGGAAAACAGGTTCCAGCAGAACAAGGCGAGCTTCAAAGTAATCTCGGATTGTCTCTTCAGCCACTCTCGAAAGCCTGGTAAGAAATGACAGGAAGTTGTTAATGCACTGACATATCACACTGTACCACATACATAATTATGCTCACCAGGTATGAACAGCACCTCTGCCCTCAGCCCACCTCCCTGCTCATTCCCTTGTGCACCCGGCACCTGATGTACTGCACCAGTCTGCCTCATGCCCATCTTCTCTCACTGTAAACTCAAACTGCAAAGGACAAGCTTTTCCCTGCTGCTGTCTCCGTCCTCCCGGCCATTAACATAGTGTCTGCTTGCTCAGACTTGCCTAATGAATGAATAAAAGCATGAGAGCCTCTCAGGTGGGGGCAAACAGGAAGGCTCCCTTCAGCTAATCCATGAGGAGAGAAGATCTGATGCCTCCTGTGATTCCTCACAGCCTGGCCTCAGAAAGGATCAAAGCACAGGCTATCCAGAGGGCAGACTGGGCACAGGCCTTTTGTGGCCTTTTGTCTCTTGTCTAAAATACACCTTACATTCTGCTTAGATTATAGATCCTCTGTCTGGAATTGGAGTAACCATTTTGTAGGCAGGAAGAGCCAGTGAGGATTAAGAGGCAAGAAGAATAGCTTAGCCTCCTGAGACTGCCAAAAAAGTGCCTGCTTGTCTGGAAAAAAAGCACCTTCATCAGCTGCCTAACGGCTTGGAGCATTTCTGGCAAGTGTTGCCCAAATAATTCTTAAGTGATAAAAAGATCCTTGTACTATGAAGTATAAACTTGTAATAAAATAAAACTTAGAATTCACATAAAAAAATAAGCTGGTACAGACAGAATGTTAGTGCTATAAAGGAATGAGCCATCCAGACAGGGACGGAACCAACTACATGGCTGTAGTTAAATGAAAATCAATCTGAAAAGGCCAGATAATGTATGATCCTAAATACTGTAGAAAGGGCAAATTAGCCACCAAAAGACAAGTGCTCACCAGGGCACAGGGGAGACAAGAACAAAGATCTGGAAAATTAAATAGGTCTTTCATTTTTCGGTACCGGGGATCAAACTCGGGTCCTTGTGCTTGCGAGGCAGGCAGTGGAACCACTGAGCTAAAGCCTCGGCTGCTGGAAAACAATTTTTAAAGCAGTGAAAAATACTGTAAGATACAATGGTGAACACCTACCGTTACACCCTGGTCCAACCACATGGAATGTATACCATAAGGCTGAACCCTATGTGAACTGAGGACTCTGTCTGCAGAGTCATTGATACAGATACATCGATTTTAACAAATGTGCCACTCTGGTGAGAAGGGTGACAGCAAACAAGATGGATGAGGGGGCAGAGTATGTGTTTAAAAAAAAAAAAAAATTAGAATAGTTTAAAAGGTTTTAAGGAAATGTCAGACAAATTAACAGCATACATAATTTGGAGAATTTAAGGAGATACCCAGATCTAAGAGTTATGTGTGATGTTTTCTAAGGCTTCAATAACATGCACAAAAATAAAACATGCCCTTTGCTAACTTCATGATCTACAAGAACAGAAACCTGTTAGGAAACATACTAAATCTTTTTCTGAGCAGTTATTTAGAGGCCATTCCAGTGACAATGTGTCCAAATAAACAGGTTTTGTTAGTTAACCATGGTACATTCACTTTGTACTTACGTCTCCAAGTGGCTCTTCAGCAAGTCATATACTAGCACATTGTTACACTGCTTTGCAAAATGCAGTGCGCTATTCTGGTGCTTTGACAAAATGTTACAATCAGCTCCATATTCGATTACAAGCCGAACAATGTCCGAATTTCCTCTTTTACAGGCCTAAGTCAGAGAAAGGCGTGACAATTACTTAACTGTAAATGATAGTAACTACCAGTTGGCATTGGTCCCTCTCTCCATACAAACCTGGGAGTTCTTTGTAAAGAGTGCAAACTGCAATGGAGAAAGGGTGAGAAAACCCACAGCAGCAATCACTGCTGTGACTGCAACATCACAGAGGACTCACTACCTAGGGCACTTCCTGCTGCTCTCCTTCCACCTTTCTCCCCAGGTCCTCAACTCCTTTCCTTCTCCCCTGTTCTTTCCCATGCTTTAGCCTTCTCCACCTCTCAAAAGCTGACCCCATTCCCAACCTGTGGCTACAGTGCAGTCACTCAGACTGATGGCTCTCTGGTCTGAATCTCCAGCCCATACCACTGTCCAGCACCTGCTTGTCGCTGATGCCCATCCTCCCTACTCAAGAAGGGCACCACTTCCTGTTGAACCACCTTCTGGGAATTCTACCTGCTAAAAGGTGGGTAAATTACCCACTTTTCTCTATCACTGGTTATGTACAGACTACTAATTATCTATTTACTTAACAAATCTTTTCCCCAGTCCATTCTGCCTTCTGCTCTAAAGCATGTTAAATGAACTAACCCTTGAATCGACCTATATCTTTCTCCAGCTTTAACCTGCCCATAGCTCTCAAATGTCCTCAAAGTACATTGCTAGCCTGTGCCATCCCTGTGCCATCCCTGTGCCAAGTGCTGGTGCCTCCCTCACTGGCCCATTCTGCCTAAGCTCCGCTGTTCAGATGTACCCTGGGCTTTCCGCTGAGACGATGCTGAGGCACTAGCTCTGCTCTGCACAGACGGCAATAACACACATAAAATCAGACTACAGACTCAAACTTAAGGACTTAAACAAAAATGTACATTTCCATCAACTAAAAATTTTTAAAAAGCAGTGGGTAAGGCCTAGCCTGATTATGGCTGGGGCCTGAGAAGGGGTATGGCGTCCAGGCCCTAAAACCGCAGTATTCAAGGCTAGACTCAGCATGTGGCACATTACAGAGCTGCTAACAGAGGTCAGAACAGCAGGGGTTGCAGGCAAATCCCTGCCTGCTTGCTTCATAGTTTACATAAAGCTGCATACCAGGGAGAGGCAAGAAAGATAAGTCACCTTTGGCTCAGTGTCTGGACCTGCTATGTCCTAGCAGCTTAATGGGCCAGGAACCCAGAACAGCTGCAGAGGGAAAGTAGCGCTGGGCTGGGTCCCATGAGGCAAATATAAACCTGTGAGGCAGGGAGGCAACCAACAGTACTTGGGGCACTAGGAGGCTCCGACCACCTTCCACTGGGAATGTGTCTGCCAGCCAAGTTTGGTGACATATGCCTAACAGTCCCAGCTACTTGGGAGGCTAAGGCAGTACTAAAGTCTGAGCCTGGGCAGCTCTGACTTGGCAAGACCCTGTCTCAAAATTTTTTTAAAAAGTTTAGCTCAATGATGGAGCACAAGCTGGAGATCCTCCTGGTCCCCAGCCCCTCCCCAAAAGCCCCAAAATGAAGTCTAGCGAAGGAAACCTGTGAGAGAACTGGATGTTCAGAGTGCCCAAGTATCTACATAGACAGGGGAAACAAATTCTTGCCTTGGGGTGTGGTAATCTACCGGTCTTGCCGTTGCATAAGTCCTCAATAAATTAACTCGGTGTAATCCTGAATCTGTCTGCCTCATTCTTTGGTATCTTTTTTGGGGGGGTACCGGGATTGAACTCAGGACCTTGTGCTTGCAAGGCAGGCACAGTGCCACTAAGCTACATTCCCCAGCCCCTGGTATCTCTCACTTTTGGTGAATGATTCTGTATACTCGCAACGTAAGTTTTTCCAAAACAACTATATCCTGTTCTGGTTCCTGCTGATGTGCTGCTCTCATTCGGCCCTTATCACATCCACCCGAACATTCATCCCGGGTTCACAAGGACAGTCACAGCACGCACCTCCCCGAATTGGACTGTCTTAGTGTGCTCTTCCCAGTTGCCTGCACAGGTCTGGCAGTAGGGGCGCCAACATGAACACCTGTCCGAGAGGCTGAGCAACTCACCTTCATCAGCGCAGTCTCACCATTGCTCTGCTGGACATTCACAAAAGCTCCCGCTTCCAAGAGAATAGCCACTGTGGTTAAAAAGTTCTATTTAAAAAAAAAAAAATTAATTCCAAAAAGACTTTAAAAGAAGACTTTTTTAAGATGTTCTGAAACCTCAGTCATCATGAAAGACTGGGCAGATCTTATCCCAAGCGGGTGGCTGGCCACCGTCTTCCTGTCCCTTCACTGTGGACCAGGGCAGTCCTGTGACAGACCTGCTCCCTGCCGCAGCACTCACACATAGCTGCTCTGCCCAAAAGGCCACCAGAAGCTCAGCCTTAACCACTGGCTTCTACATGAGAACCTCTCCATACACATCCTTTAGACATTACAATGCACTGGGGCCGGGGATCTGGCTCAGTGGTTTCACTGCCCCCGACACCAAAAGAAAAAAAAAAAAATTATAATACATTATAAATTATGAACCAAAGACAGTTTCAGTCGGAAACCAATACTAGTATTTTAGACATCATCACTACACAACCATTACATTCCACTGCAGGACATCCTGAATTATCTGACACAATGAGTTCTCGAACCTTCTCAGCAGCGTGGATGAGGGCTGTAGTCCCATTCTTTTGCTGCCCGTTCACTTTTGCGCCTTTGGTGATGAGGAGTCGCAGGAGGTCATCCTGCCCTCCCGCTGCAGCAAGCATCACTAGTGTCATCCCACTGGAATCCTTGGTTGGTTTGTTAATGAAAAAGCCTGTTAGTCTTTAATTGGAACAATTTTAGAAGCAAGTCTCTTCAGCCGGGATGTTTCAATGTGAAATCACTACATTGCACTTATTTTGCATCTACCTAGATTTTTCACTGAAATATTCTAATCAACCAGAAACAACCACCTCTAGAATTTTCTCACAAATAAATGTTACCCTAAATCATTACAACTTTCCTGTACTGAATTCCTAAAATATATTGATAGTTTTCAGGATATAAGTGAATAGTGAAGCCAGAGGTGCTGGCAGACATCTGTACTACCAGCTACTTAGGAGGACTGAGGCAGAAAGATGGTATGTTCAAGGACAGACTAGGCATCTTAGCCAGACACTGTCTAAAAAACAAAATAAAGGGCCGGGGGTTTGACTCAGTGGTTCCGCTGCCTGCCTTGCAAGCGCAGGGTCTTGAGTTTGATCCCTGGTACCAAAGAAACCAAAAAACAAAATAAAAGGCCAGGGATTTAACTAAGTAGTACCACGCCTGCCTTGCAAGCATAAGGTCCTGCATTTGATCCCCAGTACCAAAACAATAAATAAAATTTTAAAAAATTTAAAAGGGGCTGAGGATGATAGAGCTCAACCACAGAACACTTGCTTAACATGTGTGAGACACAGTACTGATGATCGAATTCAAATTCTCCACCTGGAAAATCCGTAACAAAATACTGTAACTTAAAAATGACCCTAGTCAGGCCAGGGATTTAGCTCAATGGTTCCACCGCCTGCCTTGCAAGCGCAAGGACCCGAGTTCAATCCCCGGTAAAAAAAAAAAAAAAAAAAATGACCCTAGTAGAATTTCATTAAGTAGCTGAAGACAATACCATCCATCCATGCACAGATATCAACACCTTTATCACATACAGGCAACAACCAGTTGGAAAAAAGTATAAGTGAAAAAGTGACCATAGTGAAAAAAAAAATTTTAAGACATAGAAAATATATAAAAACGTGTAAGAGCTATACAAAGAAAAAAAATCCATAGAACTTTGCTCAAATGTATAAATGACTAGCTAACTACCAAATTATCTTGTTCATATATGGAAGACTCAAAATGTAAATTTTAAAAATATCAAATTTCAGCTAAGTTTATATATATTATGTAATTTCAAAATCCAAATTTATTTCTGAATTGCAAGCCCAAAGGATTAAAACTTAAAAATACTCAACACAAGAAAACATAATCTTTTCTAAGCAAGACAAGACAGTCAGAGCCCATGAATGAAATACTTCACCAGATGTGACTGTCTCAAAGTAAAAACCCTCCGGGCCGGGGATTTAGCTCAGTGGTTTCACCGCCTGCTGTGCAAGCACAAGGACCCAAGTTTTATCCCTGGTACCAAAAACAAAAAAAACAAAAAACATACTGCCTTTCAAAGTAAAAACCCTCGTGGCAGTAAAGAGTAAACCACATAAAAGCCCAGAGAGGTCACAATCAAACCAGACTGTCATTTGGGATGACAGAATTACAGAAACTAAAACTGTACATTGCTACAGCTCTATGATGTTTGAATTTTACGAAGTGAATATGCAGGTACTTTTGTACTTCAGAACTGAAATATGAAATTCATTTTGTCAAAAACACTACTTTCCATGTTCCTTTTGTGAGACATTTTGCCAAGGACAGACATATTACCTCTTGGTCCAAGTTGTACTCTTCATTTGAATTAAGTGCAACCTTTACAGAAATATAATCCCCATTTTTCACAGCATCCCTCAATAAATCTAAAATGAAAGGAAAGGTGAGTTAGGTTTTACATGTTCAGATCTGTTAAAAGAAGTTGAGTAATTCCGAAAGCACTCACGACTTGGAATTGCATCTGCTGTGGCAAAAGTCTCATCTTCCCCATCAAGGTGCCTTTGAAAATCTTCTAATTTCATCCATTCCAGCTGGAGGTCCATGCCCAAACTCAAAATCTGTTGCCTGCCATCTGCAATACACACGAGCCTTATTAACATACACTTTTTCTAGACTACTATAAAAAGCTACAATGCTATTTATTAAACTTGTGGTGTTTTAACCAAAACTTTATGTATATTTTAAACATAGGTCATATAACTAAGTCATTTTTTTCATTGATAAGTGCTCCAAAGGCATACAGATAATAAGTGGCTGGGCATGGTGGCACATGCCTGTAACTGCAGCACTCTGGGAGGCTGAGGAAAGCAGACTGCCAAGTCGAACCCATCCTCGGCAACTTAGCGATTTGGTAAGTGTCTGAAAACAAAAAAAAAAATCAAAGGGCTGGGGATGCAGCTATGTGCAAAGGTCCCAGGTTCAATCCTTTGTACAGCAAGGGGAATAAATAAATAAATAGATAATATGGAATTGTAAAATGGTGAAATATGAATTTTTAAGTATACAACTAATCTGCTCAACAGAATGCAAAATGACAAAGATTCAGTAAGAGGAATCATGAGTAATTTTAACATGACTTTTTTCCATACTTAGCCATTCTTCTTGGCTAAGTATTGCTTCCAACCATGTCTACAAATATATAAATTATACTAGTAACTAAGTAAAAAGCACTGCCTATCATCCTCCCACGCAGCCCAATCCCTTAGTGCCCAAAGTTCCCTGATCCCACAGTGCCTGACCCGAACCCAACAGCAGCACAAAGTACTGGTTTCTTCCCACATCTGGCAGACTTACAAGCCACTGAACACTGACAAGGGCCATATTCATTCCTCATTATCATGGCAATATGTCCCTGAGATCTCAGTATAGCTCACTTAGAGTGATTCCAAATGCCTACATGCTATTTCAAAAAAAAAACAAAATCAGTACATTAGAGAATTTTCACCTAAAACCAACTCAAAATATACAGATATTAGGCAGATATCCTAGCAACAGAAACAAAATTTGTTAAAGATGCAAATAAGTCAACTTTTCAGAAAGCTTTCAACTCCAGCTGACACTTCTGTTTACTAACCCTCAGAGCGTGATGTCTGTCACTCACAGAAATAGCATACCCTTGGCATGAGACACTATGGCTTCATACTCCAGGGACCTATGAGCTGTGTGGCTCTGTCAGACTTCCTGCACCTCAGTTGCTGAATAACGGTAGAAGTGTTGAGCCGGGGGTTCTGCTCAGTGGCGCCTCACCTGCCTCCCAAGCGCAAGGTCCTGAGTTCAATCCCCAGTAAGGGGGCGTGGGGATGGACAGGGAACACAGAGACATCACACATACACACACACAGTAAAAGCAGCTCCCAGTCATAAGGAGTGTTATTCACATCTAATTCATCTAGCCCAACATAACAGGAAGTGACAGGCCCAATCCTAGCACTCAACCCTCTCTTGGTCCAGTGGAGAGACCTCCATTCTCTACTCTAGTGATAGAGAAAGCAACGTTCCAGCTCCAGATGTAGAAAAGGGCAGACAAGGACCTACTTAGGCCGAGAGAGTACCATTACTCACATGATCACTGCAATTAGCAGAGAACAAACCCAATCTGTCAGACAGGCTTCAGTTGTAGCTCAGATCTTCACCTCTCAGAAAGCAAAGTGATTCAGAGATCTGTGGCTCATTCCTACCATATGCTGGATGTTACTGCCAGACCTAATAGATTTAACTGTGAAGAGTGTATGCTGTCCGTGTCTGGGGCCACCAGTCTTCTGCTTGTCCCTTCATCCCTGATAGCTTTCACCCACAGTGTTATTTATATTCATTCTATGTTGGAGTCTGGGTTAGTCATGTCCTTCCTTTCTTAAAACAGTTTAGCCATAAATACATGTATTACTAAAAAAGTAGTTTTGAGCTTTACAAAACTTTCAGTTCTTTAAATATTCTGGATACTAATCCTTTCTTTTCACCTTTTTAATGGTAGCTTTGTTGAACAAAATTTTCTCTCTAATCAACTATCATTCTTTCATGGTATTTTTGTTTTAAGATATGTTTTGCAACCCCAAGGTCACAATTATTTTTATATTTTTTTTGGTTTTTTGAGGCAGGGTCTTCCTTTGCAGTTCAGGCTGGCCCTGAACTCATTATGTATTGGCACTGAACTTGCAGTGCCAGTTCAGGATGGCATTGAACTCGCAGCGATGCTCCTGGCTCAGCCTCCTAAGTGCTGGGATTACAGGCATGTGCCACCATGCCCAGCTCACACACTGTTGTTTTTTTTGGCGCGCGGGGGGTGGGGTGGGGGGTGTGCATACCAGGGACCGAACTCCAGTCCTTGCACTTGTGCAGGAGGCAGTGAAACCACTGAGCTAAATCCCCGGCCCCACAAATATTATTCTTAATCTTCTAAATACCTAACATCTGAATATTCTCTACATAGTGAAGGCCTCATTCCATCAGGATTTTATTCTAGGGGACTCTTTCTGCAGAAACAATCAATTATCCTGACATGGTGACAAAGACATCCTCCGAGCACAGGTGACCATCTCTATCTGTCTCGTCAGCTCCACATGGCCTGGCCTGAGGTCTCCACTGTGGTGTGCTGTGCTGGTCTACTACCCAGTTCCACGGTAATTCTGTATTCAGTGCTAGCTTTAGATGGCGGGTTGTGATTACCATTGTCGTAAGTGGACTCAGCTTTTCTTGAGTCTGCATAAATTTAAAAATCATTATTTGGAAACTCCATGAAAAAACACTGAGTTTTTTGTGTGGGGCCTTGAACATGCTAGGGAAGTGCTCTACCACTGAGCCACACCCTCAGCCCCACACTGAGGTTTATAAAGCAGTGAAAGTGGTGTATAAAATTATTTTTCTATTAATAATGGCATATGTAGATTGTAATGACTTTCTCAAAAAACATTTTATACTTTTCTACATGTATTCTTTTTTTTTTTTTTTGGTACCAGAGGTCGAACTCGGGTCCTTGTACTTGCGCAGCAGGCAGTGAAACCACTGAGCTAAATCCCTGGCCCTTCTGCATGTATTCTTATATGTTGCTATTAAAAATTAGCTTTTTGGGCCAGGGATTTAGCTCAGTGGTGTCACTACCTGCCTCAAAAGTGCAAGGTCCTGAGTTCGATCCCCAGTATCCCCCCCCCCAAATTAGCTTTTCTGCCAGGCTTGGTGGTGCATGTCTATCATCCCAGCACTCAAGATGCTAAGCCAAGAGGATCACCACGAGTTTGAGGGCAGTCTAGGCTACATAATGAGTTCAAGGCCAGGCTGGACTCTATAGCAAGACCCTGTCTCAAAAACAAAAAAGGTTTTTAAAAAGATACTCAGGCTGGGGATTTGGCTCAGTGGCACCATACCTGCCTTGCAAGCACAAGTTCCCGAGTTCAATACCCAGTACCAAAAAAAAAAGAAAAGAAAAAAGGTTTTTTTGCCAATGGTTCAGTGATTTTTTAAAAAATCAATTGAAGGCCGGGGATTTAGCTCAGTGGTTTTGCCACCTGCTATGCAAGCGCAAGGACCGGAGTTCCATCCCCAGTAGAATAAAAAGACAAAATCAATTGAAAGTATCTTTTTTCCACAGTTGACTGGCTGGTGAAAAAAATCAATGCAGCCAGTATGGTGGTACACACCTGCAATCCCAGTACTTGGGAGGCTGAGGGAGGAGGATCACCTCAAGTCTAAGGCTGGCCTGGACTACACAGCGAGTTCAAGGCCAGTCTAAACTACATAGTGAGACCCTGTCTCACAAAAACAAGACAAAAAGAAACAAAAAAAATCAAGAATGTTATTAAATAATTTCTTCCTTTACAATTCCTATGAAAACACAAAAATTCTTTAAACAAGACTACATTCAATTTGTACACGTTCTATTTAGAATTTTTACATCAAAACTCATGCATGAGCTTGGCCTGTTTTTTTTCCTTTCTTACATAGTGTTTGTCTGGTTTTGATACTGAAGTTATAATGGTCTCAAATAATGAATTCCCATTTAAGAATACTTTTCAACTGTTTGGTAGTCCTTGTGTCTAAACCCATCTGGTCTTAGTGTTAAATCCATTTTAATTACCATTTCATGGTTTGTTTATTTGGGGGGAGTGGAGACAGGGTCTCACTATGCAGTTCAAGCTGGACTTGAACTTTACTATCCAACCCAAACTGGCCTTGAACTTTTGGCAATCCTCCTGCCTCAGCCTCCCAAGTGCTGGGATTACAGGCATATACAACCACACTCAGTTTTTAAGTTAAAAATTATTTGCTACAGTCAGACCTAGTAGTGCATACCTGTAATCCCAGCACTTGGGAGACTGAGCCCAGAGGACTGTGTCATGGGTTCAATGCCAGCAAAGGCGACATAGTGAATTCAAGGCCATCCTGAACTACATATTGAGACACTGTCTCCAAAAAAAAGAAAGATTATTTGCCAGGCATGGTGGCACACACCTGTAATCCCAGCACTTGGGAGGCTGAAGCAGTAACGACTGTAAGTTCAAAGCTAACCTGGGCTACACAACGTATTCAAGGCCAGCCTGAACTACATGGTGAGACCTTGTCTCAAAAAACCAAAAAAACTGTTATAAGATTACTCAATTGATTTTTTTGTTGTTGGTGGTGATGGTACTGGAGACTGAACTCAGGATCTTCACACTGAGCTATACCATTGGCCCTTAATTTTGAAGCAGAGGCTTACCAGCCTGAGCTGGGCTTGAGTTTGTGACCCTCCTGCCTCAGTCTGTCAGAGTGCTGATACCGCAGGCCTGTGGTTCTGAGTCGATTTTGTTAAATTGTATTTTTCCAGGAATTTCCCCATGTTGTTCACTTTTCAAATCTATTAGTAAGAAATGGCGTACAGAATTCCTTTATCTTTTTAATCTGTAGAAAGTCTGTAACTGTACTGCTTAAGGCTTTAACTTTCAACTTTTTTTTTTAACTTTCAGAAGCTTATCTATTTCTTTAGTCTCTGCAAGAAACAAACTTCTGGCTGTACTACTGCTCCCTCCTGTGTCTGCTCTGCATGGTATCTTTTGGAATTTTTTTTTTTTTAGAAACTGTCTCACTATGTAGTTCAGGTCGCCCTTCCACTATGTACCCCCCCACTGGCCTTGAACTTACAGCAGTCCTCCTGCCCCAGCCTCCCAAGTACTGGGAATATAAGCGTGCGCCACCACAACGGGTCCAGATATCATCCCAATTTCTTGCAATCGCAACAGTAACTACAAAATCATGTTCTACCCCAGCATCTAGGATCTAGCTGTTTTACAGTAAGAAAGTATTCCCAGAATATCCAGTCTGTCATATATTCTAACTTATTTTAAAGATTCTCTTAAAATTTTTTTTTTCCAAAAAAAAAAAAAAGATTAAAAAAAAAATTTCAGCCTCGAAAGCACAAGGTCCTGAGTTCAATCCCCGGTACCAAAAAAAAAAATTTCAGTAATTACAATTTCATCAGATTAACCTTGTTTATCATGTTCTCTATGTATGCACGTCTTGCTCCTCCCCATAGCTTTTACTCTGTATTCTACCCTTCTCAGTTAATTCCAATGCCCAAAGGATACTGCTTAAAACTATCTTATGTGGGGCTTGGAGATTTAGCTCAGTGCTTTCACTGCCTGCTGTGCAAGCACAAGGACCCGAGTTTGATCCCTAGTACCTAAAAAATAAACAAACAAACTGTCTTATGTGGTTGTATTTACTACAAAGTTATAAAAGGAAGAATATAAACCAGTCGTGGTGGTACAGGCCTGTAATCCCTGCAACAAGGGAGGTGAATGTACGAGAGACTGCAAATTTGAGTCCTATTTCAGAAACTTAGTGCGACCCTGAGTGTCCAAAAATAAAAAAGGGCTGGGAATATTGCTCACGGATACAGCAGCCCTGGGTTTGATCCTAAGTACCACCACCACCACCAAAAAAAAGTCTATATATGATGATTTTCTAAAAAGAATCTAATAATAAGAGGTTGCAAGTTCTAAAAATTTGTAACTTCTCAATGTGCATAGAAAATATTTTTGATACATTTAAAAGTCAAAGAATGACTCAAGTCTTCAATATAAAGTTTTTATTCAGGAAATCCAATTAAAATCTGTTATTTTCTGATCAGAATTATAGTGGTAGATAAAAATAACCAATATGGTGCACTTCTCTGAAAGCATTCTGCAAAAAGTATCAAACAAACTCACCCAAACTCTCATCTGTTGGACACACACTGTCCAAACCCTCCTGCTCGTCTTCTGCAGCAATGTGCACCCAAGTGTCAGTTTCATCTCTTGTAGTTCTCCTTTCTTTACATGAGTACTTGTTTTCCTTGGTTTTCTGATCTTCTGCGGTTTTACAATCCAGTATTTCTTCTTTTTTCCAATTATTCTCAGGAGCATCATTTTTTTCTTCTGTAGTTTTTTTAAATAAATCAAATGCATTTCTGATTTCCTTAAATGCTAATGCAAAAATAGAAACTGATGGTAAGTAGGAGTCACAGATTTCTGTTACAATCAGAAGAAAATCTGGGTTAGTATGAGAAACATATTTCTAAAATTTTTACTAGTATCCATCAGCCTGGTTATAAAAAAGTATGGCCCAGATTTACAGTCAAAGCCACAAAGTCATTTCACAATGAGTCTTTCTACCGGCTGCTCATTATCTAGTGGACAGAAATGTCCAGGGGAATGGCGGCTGCTCAGGTCTTCTGAGTTACTCTCCTACAGTTGTGACAGTAACTATTCAAGGTGATGAGCCTCTGAATGATTCTCATTACATCACCAAACTTCTTACTGCCAAAGACTTCAGCCTGTCTACTACAGCAGCTGCCTGTGCAGGAACTGTTTCTGGTGGTGAGTGGGGAAAACAGTCAGGTGCCAGAACACTGAAAGCACACCTGATAAAACTACTGCCACTAGTGGGGGGTTTTTTTGGGGGGGAAAGGGGTATTTGAGACAGGGTCTTGCTATGTAGTTCAGGCTGGTTTTAACCTACACAGCCCAGGTTGGCCTTGAACTTGTAGTGATCCCGCCTCAAACTTACTTTTTTTTTTTGAGTGCTGGGATTACAGGTGTGTGCCACCTCACCCAGCATGCCACTAGCTTTAAACTAAAGATAAAACTGAGAAGAAATACTGGCAGGGTATATAGCTCAGTGGTACTAGCATGTGTAAGGCCTTGGATTTAATCTCCACCAGCACACCTACACACACACACACACACACACACACACACACACACACACGCATGCAGGCAC